CAAAAGATTCAATTTAGGTCATCAACACCCGGGCGTGCTTGGTCCAAACCCAAAATTCGGACCAAAACCCAATTATCTATTCACCCACGAGCCCGGTTATATAATTTGTTTTGGAATCCGACCTTAATTTGAGGTCTAAATCCCAATTTTATAAAAATCCCTAGTTCTACCCAAACATCCAATTCCCACCATGAAAACACTAGATTTTTGGTTGAAATCTTAGGATATGTAATGAAAGATTGCAATAAAAGAGATTAGAATCACTTACCAATAATTTGGGGAAGAAGGATTATTGGGAAAATCGCCTTTAGGGTTTTCTTGTTTTTGAAAATTTGAAGAATGGGAGAAAATCTCGTGTTTCAGCTATTAGACCAGTTGTAGGTGTCGCAATAGCGACCTGGGGTTCGCAATTTGAACCCCGCAAATGCGAGCTTTTCTTCGCAAATGCGAAGTCTCACAATTCCTGCTATCATCGCAATTGCGATGTCTTGATCGCAATTGCGATGACTTGTTCGCAATTTCGAACAGTGGCCTCCTCGCAATTGCGACCAAATGATCGCAAATGCAAACTTAGTGCTGACCCACCCCTCTTCGCAAATGCGAAGCCTGACCTTGCAATTGCGAGGTCTGAGGCCTGCACCAAAACTGAAGCACACCAGTAATGTTTCTAAGTCAAAATTCACTCTGTGGCCTATACGAAACTCACCCGAGCCCTCGGGGCTCCAAACCAAATATTCACACAAGTCCAAAAGCATCATACGAACTTGCTCGCGTGATCAAATCGCCAAAATAACACCTAGAACTACGATTTGAACACAAAATCAAATGTTTTGAAACTTCTATTCTAACAACCGAACGTCCTAATCACGTCAAACCAACTCCGTTTCTCACCAAATTTGACAGACAAGTCATAAATATAGTAATGGTTCTATACTGGGTTCCGGAACCAAAATACGGCCCCGATATCAATAAATTCAAACATTGCTCAAACCTTCAAAGTCATTAAGCTTTTAAACTTTCAAATTTCAACAAAATGCGATAACTCGAGGTAAGGACCTTCGAATTCGATTACGGGCATACACCCAAGTCCCAAATCACGATACTGACCTATCCGGACCGTCGAAATACGTCCGTTTGATTTAAATGTTGACCAAAGTCAACTCAAATGGATTTCAAGGTAAAATTTCATATTTTATCAGTTTTTAACATAAAAGCTTTTTGGACAAATACCTGTTCTACACACGTAAATCGAGAAAGGCTAAAATGAGGTATTTGAGGTTTCGAAATACAGAATTAAGTTCTAAAACATAAGATGACCTATCGGGTCATTACAATATCGGACACATACATGTGAGCGGTATTGTGTAAGTTCCGAGGGCATAAAGGTTAGGGGATGAAATTTGAAAGTAAGGTACCGATTGGAGAAGGCAGCATTAAAGGAGCAGCTGTTACAGAAAATCATAACATTTATTCCCAAATGTTATGCAGCCATCAAGAGTGGGTTTTATTCATCTTTAAGAGGGTGTAATTTGATGATCTTGTCTCCTCATATTTAACTATAAATAGCAACATTTGTACTCATAAATGGAACATGAAATATTTGAGTAAAAAGAGCTAATGTTTTTTCTCCCATTCTTGTAAACTTTATGCAACTGATATCAAGATTTTCCAATTACTCTTGGTTCTGGTGGGATTAACTTGAAGTCTAGACTTATTCCCTTTTTTTTAATTATCTTTATTTTATTTCCTTTATTCTTAGTTATCTTATAAATCAGGTCAAATTAATTCACGCAACTATAAATCACGTTGCAAATTAAATTGTACTCCCTCCGGTCCACAATAAGTGACCAATTTGCTTTTTTTATTTTGGTCCAAAATAAGTGTCCATTTATATAATCAAGAAAAAATTCAATTTGTTTTTTCAAAATTACCCTTATGTACGTATCCCTAAAAAGTCATTTACTCCTCACATTTGAGAAGAGAAGTAAGTGCTATTATAACTATGGTACAACATTTAATAAAGGGTAGTTTAGTCACACTAACTATTTTCGTCTAGAATTTACTATTTCCTTAATGGGTGTGCTCAAAGCAAATCGGTCACTTATTGTGAACCGGGGAGTATTTTTTTGGTAAAAATGGCATGTAGTAGCCACTAATTAAGGGTGTCTTTAATTTTTATCCACTAATTATAATGCTCAGCAAAAATAGCCACTACTAATAGAAAAAAGACAATTTTACCCTTTCTTCCTCTCTTTCGCGTTGCATTTTCATCTGGAATACCCAAGGCGATTTCACGGTCGGCCTCCTCCATGCTTGGTCAATAGCATCAGGTCTATTAGTGAGCCCAATTACTAGGATATAACCAGGTCCATCATGAGATCCTTCTGATTTTGCTTCACTATTCCTTTTACCAATACGTACCGTAGTTCCTTTTGCATCATCAAAATTTTCAAGTTCTGAATTTTTGAGTAGATGTCTCAATTACGTACAGTAATTTCTTTCTTCTTACCTTGTTTTTGTTTCTTTTGAGTTCAAAGATTAAAAGTTAAGGACATGAGTCTTTAAGTTTGACATGCAGGTTTAAAAGTTAAGGAGATGCATTCCTTAAATTTGACATGCAGGTTCAAAAGATAAGGACAAACAATCCTTAACTTATAGTTTCAAGTTCAAAACTTAAGGATAGTCAGTATTTAAGTTATTGTTTCAAGTTCAAAACTTAAGGACTTTCTGTCCTTAACTTTGGTTTCAGTTTCAAAAGTTAAGGACAGGCAGTCCTTAACTTATAGTTTCAAGTTCAAAACTTAAGGACGTGCAGTCCTTAAGTTATTGTTTCAAGTTCAAAACTTAAGGACATGCAGTCCTTAACTTTGAGTTTAAAGTTCAAAAGTTAAGGACAGACAGTCCTTAACTTACAGTTACACGTTCAAAAGTTAAGGACAAGCAGTACTTAACTTACGGTTACAAGTTCAAAAGTTAAGGACAATAGGTCCTTAACTTTGACTTACAAGTTCAAAAGTTAAGGACGCTTGGTCTTGAAGTTTGAGTTCCAAGTTCAAAACTTAAGGACATGTAACCTTGAAGTCCTGAACTTAGAGTTCCAAGTTCAAAAGTTAAGGACATGTAGTCTTGAAGTCCTGAACTTAGAGTTTCAAGTTCAAAAGTTAAGGACATGTAGTCCTGAAGTCCTGAAGTTAAGGACATGAGCAGAAGGGTATTTTTGTCCGAGCAGTTAAAGTTTATTAAACCAGTGGCTAAAGACTAAAGACATTTAAAACGCTGGCCTTAAAATAAAGACATAAGCTGTTAGTGGCTATCTGTGCACATCGCCCATTTTTTTGCGGGTAAACCTCCATAACGATACAAGTCATGTTTACGACATTAATGACTTTGTTTAATCTTTTTCTTCTTTTTCATATTTATTTCGTAGAGAAACAATGGTAGTGCGACATTAATAACTTTGTTTTGCTCTATTTTAGCAAAACTACGTGGTTGACTGAAGTCCTTTGCTTCTACCTACCCATTGCACGATTCGGATTTTTTTACGTTTCCACTCTTTTCTTTGAAAGATTCTTTTCGGTGCCTACTTTGCTGTCACTTCATTCAACTTTTTTTCTGATGAGCCCCTCATGCTTCTTTTTTGTGATTATGGTGTCCGGTGTATGCTATCTCCCACAAATATAAATATTGAATAAATTCATACATAGAGATTTAAGTAGATGAAGGAAATAATTTTTTATGTATTAGTTGGATTGAACACAAAGTTGAAAAATATAAAGAAGATTTATGAATCTTATGGTCTTAAATTAAAGATGTATATAACATATCAAACGTGATCTTACAATATCATGTTATTCCTGAAATAGAGTGTCACTAAAAATAAATTGAATTTTTTTGAATTATACACAAACTAAATATATAAATATTTTTTTTGAGAAAGACTAAAAAGTAAAGTGAGACACATAAGTTAAACCGAGAAAAAGATTATGCATATAATATTCGAAACAGATATTTAATATTCATTATTGAATTTTTCCAATTTCATATTTCATCGAATTTTCAATCAAGAGCAAAACGCTTCTTATTATGACTTTCTTCATTTTCTAAACTTAAATTTGTAATTAAAAAAAAAAGAATCTTGTCCATCCAATGATCACAATACTTGTGGTACCCAAGATAGGTTGCAAATACTAGTTTGACGTGTGCATTATATAAGTAATAGAAAAGAAATTACTAAAATAAAAATTAAAAATTAATTTAATTTAATAGAGAAATCACATGAAAAGTATAATTAATAAGCTAATTATAGAAATAAATTTGAAAAAAATATCAATGTTGTATAAAATAAAGTATTTTCACGTGAGATGTGCCATGGATTGGGTAAAGGGGTAATCAATGTCTAATGAGAACTTACACATTTAAAATATAACATAGTAATTTCATCAATAAGATATCATAATATTACAAAACTTAGTAATAAAATGCTCTCAAGTATGTGACTAGTAGTCGACGACGAGATTAAGATTCAATTCTACATAAACAACAAAAATAACTTATTTGCTTAAATTTTAAAGGACAAAATTATTTATTTTTTACTCATCAAAAATAAAAAATACTCGATAAAATAGTTAGAATGTATCTAAACAAATCGAAACACCTTACTATATAAACCCAAAAAAAAGGTTGTAATAAAACGAGTATCAAGGATGCCCAGCTGGCCACCTAATCAGAGGCGGATCCAGGATTTAAATTTTATGAGTTCAATGTTTAAAGTTTTTAGTTTAAACCCATTATATTTTTAAAATTATGAATCTATTATTTGTTATAATTTTAGTGAGGTTTTACACATCAATTTATACTTCACATTGAATGTTATGCGTTCAGTTGAACCGTCGTTGAAATGCTACGTCAGCCCTGCACCTATGTAGAAAACCTTTATATCTTGCCTTTGATATTTTCCCAAACCAAACTTTTTTTTCTTCTAATTAATTTTATTTTTTTAATCATCCGAACCTAGCGTTGCCTTGTTAGAGTTGCTAGTATTAAAGAATAGCTGATTTTTCTGTTACGGCTACACGGAAACAAACAAACTCAGCTTATAGCGGAGGCATAACTACTTTCCACGAGAGTAGAGTGAGCCAACACCTGTCACTCTCTCTGCTCATTCACACACAGTCATGGAGACGCCGTTGCTCAACGGTTTCTCCGGTGACGACCACCAACTCATCGGCGCCGACGGTGACTACCGCCCTGCCAGAAGTCTAAAAGTATGGTGGGCTATTTTCTGCATTGAGAGTGTTAAGCTGTGGAGGATAGGAGGTCCTATAGCCTTCAACATAATCTGTCAGTATGGTGTGAACTCTCTTACTAATATATTTGTTGGACATCTTGGAGATATTGAGCTTTCTGCTATCTCCATTGCTCAATCTGTCATTGGTACCTTCTCTTTCGGCTTCATGGTCAGCTCTCTCTTCCCTTCTTAATTTCCGCATGCGTAACAGTACATGTAAAAATAAAAATGTTGATATTGATAGTATATTTTTCCCATGGTGCACATCTTAGGTGCTTAGTAGTCTATAAGCAGTAATTCATTTCAGGGCCGTCTCTAATGCACAAGCCACTAAAGCAAGTGGCTTAGACCCCCAATTTTTTAGGGCCCCATATTTCAATAGTATAGTTACTAATTGCAGGAATTTGATGTATGGGGATTGTTACACAAATAATCAGTCAGATTCAATGTTTACCTTTTCTAGCTAATATACATAAATTATACATTGACAATACACAAATATATGAATCATATATATATTAGGCCACAAAATATAGCGAGCCGCCCCCGAAGATGAAGCCTTTCTTCTTCAATTCCACGTTAAAGCCTTTCTTCTTCAATTCCATTTCCTATTTTCTAACAGTGTATGTGGTTGTATATGTTAAGAGAACCCACCCATTGCTTCAGAAGAGCACTAGGTGCAATGCCGTTTGTTTGCATATCTAGGAAAGTACTCATTTTATATGATACTATTTGGTTGAATATTGAGATGCTAATTTGATTTTTATTTTATATTAGTGATAGTAGATTGGAATATTGATAGAATGATTGAAAACATAGTTTACAGAGAAAACATAACATCTATATTCAAATTTTGAATTCTTGAAGGTTATGAATGTTATTTGAAAAAGATATTGTATTGAACATTTTGGTATTTTTGCAAAATGAAAAGAATTTCCTAAAACTAAGACAATGGGAGATAGTACCACTCTCACACCTTGAACCCATATTAATATGGGACTAGATGTGTATATTTTGATGTTCAACATTGGGTTTTCAAGTTCAGAGAGCATTTGATTTGTTTAAACAAAATAAGAGAGAATTAATTTGTCAGCATATCAATAGGTGGAGTAACAGTGCTCATAATATCACATTATTGATATATTTTCAGTTGGGAATGGGAAGTGCGCTGGAGACACTGTGTGGACAGGCCTATGGTGCAGGGCAAATTCACATGCTTGGAGTTTACATGCAACGCTCTATCATAATTCTGTTTGTAACTTCTATCTTGCTCTTGCCCATCTATTTATTTGCAACCCCAGTGCTCAAGCTGTTGGGCCAAGAATATGACATTGCTGAGCTTGCTGGGGAATATGCCATACTAATTATCCCTCAATTGTTTTCACTTGCTATCAATTTTCCAACCTCCAAATTCCTTCAAGCTCAAAGCAAAGTTGATGTGCTTGCCTGGATTGGATTTGTTTCTTTGCTAGTGCATGCTACACTCCTTTGGCTCTTTATTTATACGTTTGGCTGGGGTACAAGTGGTGCTGCCTTAGCCTTTGACATTACAAATTGGGCCATGGCAATTGCTCAGTTTGTTTATGTTGTTGGATGGTGCAAGGATGGGTGGAAGGGATTGTCGTGGGCAGCATTTAACGAAATATGGTCTTTTGTGAGGCTCTCTATTGCATCAGCTGTTATGTTATGCCTTGAGATTTGGTACATGATGAGTATTATCATCCTTGTTGGCCATCTCGACCATGCAGTCATCGCAGTTGGGTCCATTTCTATTTGGTGAGTTTACCTTAGTCTTTATGCTACTTCTCTTAGTGCTATGGCATTGAAAAGTTTAACAGAAATGTTTATGCACCAGTTTATTCTCTACCAAATCTTGTGCTTAAGTCTTGTCTATACCTCATGCCAGCATGGTGTTTGATATACAAATACTTCTTCCACAGCACTCCCACAGCATCATATTTAGCAGAAAAATTATCATTCCACTCTGTGGGATGAGATTCTCAAGTTTTCTGATTCTAATTGATTCTTCTGTTTTACAGCATGAACGTCAATGGGTATGAAGGCATGTTGTTTATTGGAATTAATGCTGCCATAAGGTAAAAAGTCTCGATAATTATTCAGAACTGCACTTAATTTTTTATGTTCATGTGAAGCAGTTGTGGTGCATCCTATATATGTCAATATGTAAACATGTAGATGAAGGGGCTCAAGTATATGCTCTCGGAATCTGGAGAAAATTACTATACCTCATATCCTTCCTGTCATTATTGTCTTTGTTTTTTATGATACAATTCAAAATTATCCTAATGCAGTTAAATTGCTTGCCAAATGCTTTTGTCAGTCACCGTGGACCTCTGAGTAATAGGAAATGTTACCCGTGGTGGAATGTGATAATCTATAATAGTTGCCTTAAGTTTGTCAAATGCCAATAAGAAAGTGAAGCAGGCTTCCTGGATTTTAACTTCTCAGCTGAGATTGTTTATTTTATTCCTTGTATCACCTCTAGTTTAATCCCCTAGCTAGTCTTCTTGCAACTTATTCACTTCTTTTCCTTTTTCCCCAGTGTACGGGTCTCAAATGAGCTTGGGCAAGGGCATCCAAGGGCCACTAAATACTCTGTCTATATCTCAGTGTTTCAGTCACTCCTAATTGGGCTACTCTGTATGGTTATTGTATTGGTAGCTAGAGAGCATTTGGCCATTATCTTTACAAGCAGCAAGGATATGCAACAAGCTGTCGGTGATCTTGCTTACCTTCTTGGAATAACTATGGTTCTTAATAGTGTTCAGCCTGTTATATCAGGTATTGGCTTGGTTCACCGCTAGCTGTTTCCTGGATTTGTATTTTCTGACAGATCGATTTACTGTAATCTGTCGTGCCTCCTTACCATGTTAACTCATGAGGTACTCTTGCAGGTGTTGCTGTTGGAGGTGGATGGCAAGCTTTAGTGGCTTATATTAATCTGGGATGTTATTATATATTTGGACTCCCACTAGGATTTACTCTTGGTTATGTGGCTAAGTTGGGAGCAAAGGTAAACTAAGTATTTGAGTTTTCTTTAGCAAATCTATTGTGTCATTGACATTAGCTACATAATCTTCATCCCTCCCCGCCTCCCCGGTCTTTTTCACTCAGTTTTTTGTTTGGAAAGAAGTATCAAAAAGACACAGCTGGATTATATTACATTGTTATTATACCTGATAACCATTTGGTTGAAATCAAGGATAGTTTCTTTCATTATCGGTTTATTTTATGTCTTGTGTTATCGATCCGGATGTTTTTCTCTCTTTGAATTGCTTCACTACCCTGAATTGATTGAACAACTTGCAGGGACTTTGGCTGGGAATGATAGCTGGGACATCTTTGCAGACTGTGCTACTCTTGGTTGTACTATATAAGACAAACTGGAACAAGGAGGTAAGTGAAACATTGCAAATTGGCTTCTTGATTCGTACTTTTTGGCATAATCTATTACGATAAAGCAACTGAACAGAACAATAGGCATGCTTCTAGTCTTTATGTAATAGGAAATAGGGTATTCACATGCATCTAAATGAGAAAAAAATACCTGCTCATTCTTGTACTTGTTGAGTTCATCCATTGTTTTTCCCTTTCATAATTTTGGGGGCTGTTTTTGCTTCAGCATCTCTTCTCCTATTCTTTCCTTGGGTAAAATAACTAAACATTTTACTTATTCTTGCATTGATCCTCGTTTTTAGACTCTTCTGTCTTATTTTATCATTGTAAATATCATGCTAGTTTGCTGCACTTGTTTAAGCAGGCTGTCATTTTAACACGACAGAAACTAGTATAATGCATATACATGGTGTTGTCTATTATAGCAAGCTATTATCTACTACTTGTAAATGTTATACCGAGGAACTAAACATGCAGGTTGAGGAAACAAATGAGCGTATGCGCAAGTGGGGAGGCCAAGATTTGGAAATTGAGAAATCCAGGCTGATAGCCTGATATTTTTTGGGAATGGTGTACCTTAGTTGCAGAGTGCTACGAGGAGGATGATACTGTTTTCAAATTCGGCAAAGTTGTTGGCTGGGAATCCAAGTATTTGGTCGACTAGCAATTTTGAAACTTCCACAATGTGGTAATTTTTTTACTCGCACCCGGTACATGGTGTATGAAAACAAAAACCTTTTGCATGCCATGTCCTAGTTTACTCAATTTTGAGACATTCAGCTGCTTGTCTACTTGTTTTAGTCCGTGTGGATTTCACATCAATTTTGAGACATTCAACTGCTCGTGTACTTGTTTTAGTCCGTGTGGAATTCACCAGTCTTTCCTAACTCAGACATGCTTATTTGGAAGAGCACCTTATAACCATATTGTCTCTGCTTTAATAATGAAACCGAATTTTATATTCCTTTTGTTTACTCTTCTTGTTTTTCTCCTTTTCGTCAAACTTCCACAATTTGATAGAGCTACTTTGTATTACAATGCCTGTGCTAATTTAGTTGACGTCGATGTCATGGTGAAAACTGGAAACAAACACTACTCGACATAGTGGTTAAGTGCTAAAACAGTTTTAAGTCTCTTGCTCTGCTGTAGATTATTGTATTTTGAAAAGATTTCTTTGTATTTATGTAGCACTTACTGTTTACTACGTGATTAACATTGTATATCTCTGATAATTGGAGACCGCTATGTAAGTTTTATCTGTTTATCTGTAAAACGGTACGGTTGAATTTATAGCGTGGTTTATAGATAAGTGTCACAACCCCAATTTCACACCTTAGGATGTCGTGATGGCACCTAGTCTCTAAGACTAGGTAAGCCTAACACATACTAATTATTAATGGAATTTAACTAATTTAACTGTAAGACATTAAATAATAACTATAACAGTGTAACATCGGTCATACAATCTCAAAACGGTAGTACAAGTCATAAGCTTTTTTAAGAGTAGCTAGAAATAACAAGTACATCACTGTCCCGGAATAATAGGAAATAATGGAAATAAAATACAACAGAAGATGACTTCGGGGCCTGTGAACGTCGAGCAGGTATACCTTGAAGTCTCCAACCGCGCAGACATAAGTCTCAAACCAACTCGATCATAAGTACTTGGATCTGCACAAAAATTTACAGAAGCGTAGCACGAGTACACCACAGCGGTACCCAATAAGTATCAAGCGTAACCTCGGTAGAATAATGACAAGGTCAGGTCAAGATACCTACCAGACATATAAACATGTGCAAGATATCACATAGAGCTAACAATGGAAAGAACATCAATGTAAGACCAACATCAGAAGGATCACAAATTTACAATCAACAGTGAGAATAATAGAAGCACGAATGGCAACAACAAACAACCAGGTTGTATGGGTCAGAATCCGACCCCACGATAATTAACGAGGCTAATCCCGTCTTAAGCTAATTCATGATTAATTAGTGGCACGACCACTCAGAATTAACGATATTCAACCCGCATCTGGTTCGATCAGCAAGGCCATGGCCTATCCGCCACCATAAAGGCGACATTCCAACGTGGTCACGGCCACTTATTGCCAGCTCACGAAGCTCACAGCTATAAATACCAAGAGAGGAAACCCCAGAAAGCAGGGGGCTTCTTCTTCACCACTATAGAGAGAGAGATAATTGTCAACGAGACCAAAAATGATAGACAAGAGGAACACCATTGTAAGGCTTTGAACCTCTTCATGGAGAGGCAGACCAAACCAATATTATCAATAAAGGCTTCTAATGTTTCTCCCCCTAATCCTGAGTACTTATTTTCGTTTCTTTTATTTGGTCCAACGGATTATTACGGTTTGCTATGATTTTCCCGTGATTTATTTATATTGTTTTATACTCATAAGGTATGTAATAACTTTTGAGTCAAATAATTTGGCGCCGTCTGTGGGGATTTCCTAGCAAAATCGCATAGTTCTTCCCTGGACCAAAAGAAAAGAAACGCCAAACTCGAAGGGGAACTCGAAGATCTCAAATCAAGATCTAAGTCCTCTCTCTCTCTCCGATCTCAGATAGTGCAAACAAAAAGAAGAAGCCTCCCCCCCCTCCTAAGGGGAGGTCTCTGCAAGGCATCTCCCACATCCCTGATACGAGCTCCGGCCAGAAACCGGCACGGAGATATCTCGAGCCGAGAGTCGCCTCAAGACAGCCTATATACCCTGGTTGGGAGGACAACGGATGAGCCGCTCAAGGTCTCGAATCCAAACCGAGCTTCAGCACTCAATACCCACAATATGGGACTCAGGCCATGAGCCTTCGTCATCAAGATCGACAAAGTTTAACAACAGTTGAACTGGGACTCAGGCCATGAGCCTTCGTCATCAAGATCGACAAAGTTTAACAACAGTTGAACCGTCATCAAGATCGACAAAGTTTAACAACAGTTGAACTGGGACTCAGGCCATGAGCCTTCGTCATCAAGATCGACAAAGTTTAACAACAGTTGAACCGAGACTCAGGCTAAGCGCCTTCGTCATTAAATCAAGGTAGTGCACCTTCCCCAGTAAGTTCAACTACGGTTGAACCAAGATTCAGGCTATGCGCCTTCACCAGTAAGTTCAACTACGGTCGAACCAAGATTCAGGCTATGCGCCTTCACTAGTAAGTTCAACTACGGTTGAACCAAGATTCAGGCTATGCGCCTTCACCAGTAAGTTCAACTACGGTTGAACCGAGACTCAGGCTAAGCGCCTTCGTCATTGAATCAAGGCTATGCGCCTTCGCCAAGAGGTTCAAATACAGTTGAACCATGACTCAGGCTACGCGCCTCCAAAATTGCATCAAGCCCGTACGCCTTCGCCAGTAAGTTTAGCTACGGTCGAACCAAGACTCAGGCTACGCGCCTTCGCCATCAAACCCAATGAGTTCGACCTCGCTTGAACCATAAAGCTAGACGCCTTCGTCCTCAAACCTAACGAGTTCAACAACAGTTGAACCAGGGCTCGGACCAAGCGCCTTCATCGTTGAACTCAGCGAAACCCAACCTCCAACGAATCGAGGCGCGGGTTTGGCGCCCATGCCCTTCAAGTAAGTACTCCCAACTCAAATTAAGATTAGGGACACGTAAAGTCCGGCCCCGGCCAAACTACAAGGCCGCGTTTCTGTCATCACGGCCGACAGTTCGACCACGCCCGAACTGGGACTAAGGCTAAGTGCCGCTATCGCCAAGCAACGGCTCCGACTCACTCACCCCGAGTCGAAGAAGAAGAGTCGTTAACAATTAAAAACTAACATGCCTGCCAGAGTCGAACTTGAAGGCAAATCACCCATTCGAGCGCATGCAAAGAAAAATCTAAGGGGGAAAAAGAGGAGGTACAAAATAGATACAAGGCAAATAACGGAACGGAGATCTCATTTATCCACGAAATTAATTGCGGGTCATCCCCGCTTACACCCGGCCAAGGCCGATCAATACAAGTAATAAAAAAAAAACAAGAAACACCTAAACGCCAAACGGCGAACAAGACAAGAAAAAATGCATAACATCTTTTTACTCTGTGCCGTCTGCGCCACCATCTGCACCAGCGTCAGCCTCTGGCGTCGCCGCGTCAAAACCACAGTCGGCACGGGCTTCACGAGCCTTTTGACGCGCTCCCTCGAAAGCAGCTTCGGTCACGACGCCAGCCTCCCACAAATTCTTATATACATCACGTTGGGCCTCGGCAAAGACCCAAAGTTCTTGAGCCTGGCTGGAAGAAGCGGCTTGATCCCGTAGCCGCTGATTCTCTTCTTCTAAGGCTGTGATCCGGTCCGCCATGACTTGGGCGTCCTGCTCAAAGAAACCAATCCGCTCCTCGAGACTCACTTCTCTAAAGGCCTCAGCATCCCTTTCCAATGCCCGTTGGGATTCGTGCACGCGGATAGCTTCCTTCAACGCCCCAGCCCTCGACGAGGCATCCCTCACTTGAAGCTTCAATACCGCGACTTCACCCTCCAACGCAGTCACTTCCCGCTCCATGCTGCAGCGGCCTCCGCCGCCTTAGCCTGGCCTTGGCGCTCACACTCAGCTAAGGCCCTCTTTACCGCCTAGAGCTCCTCATCCTTCCGGCGGAGCTGCTCCTCGAGAGCACTCATTCTGCCAAGTGTTTGCTGCATCTGAAGCTCCCGCCTTGCCAGCTCTTCGACCAAGGCCCGGCTACGGGGATCATTCCTCAGGCGCACGCGCAACTCTCGGCACTGATCTCGGTAGCGGCGATACTTCTCCAGCGCCCGCAAAAATATCCCCGAGCGGACCTTGGCTCGACGGATGCTCTCCACCTCCAACAGATAAGACTGCAAAGCAAAGACAACGATTAGGATAAAGAACAAACTTAAGGCAAAGAAGAAGCGAACCGACGTAATAGTACATACCCTCAAGCCCATCACGGCTACTTCATTCATCAGTCCGACATCCGTAACGCCCCTCAACGACGCATTCTCGGCCTTCGAGCATAGCAGCTCAAACTGCGGCACCAAGCTTTCCCCTTGGAGCAATAAGTTCAACTCTGTGGGAACCTCGATGAAGCGAGATCGCCCCCCTGCGCGCACCGCTGAATTGGTGGAGCCTTCCTGGAACATACAGACGTCGTCGGGGTCCAAGTCGGATTCAGACTCGTCCTCACCCCTACAGCCTCTCTTCCTCCTTCAGCCGTCGGCGAGGTGGAACCTCCCACCGCAACCGCTAAAGGGGTGCTTAACTCACCAACATTACCAGCCGCTGAGGAACTACCTCCCGTCTCAGCGATTGTAACCACCGACTGAGTCGCCGAAGCGACGGCACCCTCGTGGCCTAAGCCAGCCAAGGCAACCCCCATTGACTGTTCGCCCTCAAGAGCGGGCGCTGCGACCGCACCCCTCTCCGCATCTATCGGAGGGGAGTCCAGATTGATTACCACAGGAGGAGCCGGCGTGAACACAACCCTACGCCTTATCAAGGGCCTCTCCTCCTCCCCGTCTGATGACGATTCCGCCCTAGGGCGCACAACCCACAATGGCCCCTCATCCCGAAGCGCGGCCCGTGCTGGAGAAGGAACCGCTGAAGATTCAACTGATGTCGCCCTCGGTATTGAGCGCGATACAGGCGCCGCAATAAGTCGAGCGATTGCACCCGGTCGACGGAAGGCCAACTGAGGGGCCCTGACGCGGCGTGCCCTTCCTGATCACAGAAAAACAAAGTTGAGGAATAGTGTTGAAACAAAGCGGAATAGAAGAAGAAGTCAATTTTTCTTACCTGCCACAAGACTACGGCCATGCCTCTCCCAGAAAGACGCCCATGTGCGTATCCCCACCGTATGGGGGAGCACGGCCTCGACCCATCCGCGAATCCCAGCTAACGGAGCCGGCGGCGATTTTTCGGCTACAAAATTGACACGAGTTAACGCTTACGAGCACAAGACGTAAGGAAGGGTAAAAAAAAGAG